TGTTGACCAATCGCCCAACTACAACCAACTGAAGGCGATATGCGAGCACCGTCGATTCCCGCCCCTCGTCCGAGAACTTGTTGTCGAACTCCGCGTTCATTCTCTCACTTTCCAGCGTCTGCTCTTCACCGCTTTTCTGCGGTGCATTTGCCGTGCGGTGGTCTCGAATCCTAATGTCAAACCCTTGCTTGCAAAGTTCGAGAACGACATAGTTGGTGTCTTCGAGCAGAATCAAAACTACCACTACTCACGGCATGCTTCTTCAGCTACGGAGACGCCTGAGCAGAGCCAACAATTAAAACACGACGAGGAACGAATTTGGGGCTCTAACCTGAGAGCGCTAGTCGAGGCATTCGAGGCTAACCTTCGCAAGAACGGCGCTTCATTGGCTGATCATACGTACGGCGCTCCCCAACCTCAGCAACAGGTACAGACCCACCAGGCCCCTCCATCGCAACCGCAGCAAGTGCAAGCCCAGCCCCAACCACAACGAGTACAAACCAGCTCGCCCGCTGTTCCGCCTTTCAATCACCCCCAACAAATGCCACCGCGCACGACTAGATCGGTTGACCAGGGTTCGGCACAAGCTGCTATACAGCAGTCGCGTGGGCCTGGTCGTCCTCCCACACGCCCTGCCCAATCTACAGGGGTGGCGCCGCCTCCACGTGGGGGGCCCTTGCTTCCTGCTGCTGGCTGGCAACAACCACAACAGCGTGTACCCAATCCAGCACGCTTTGGACTACACCAAGCTCATCTCAGAAGTCCTGTTCTTCGTGCGCAATCCAAATCCTCGCCGCTGTACACATTTTGTCAAAACTTCCTCAAACCCCCAACGCGGTTGTCCTCGCCAGGCCGCGCCATTGAGAAATGGACAATCACTCTGACACCTTATGATATGCAGAGGATTGGAAAGACTATTCCAGATCAAATGGGTGGACCTGGTACTGTGAACATCAACGAGACCACGAAATTTGCTCGTTTACGTTGCGTCAAATGGCCGGAGCCTGAGTGGACGGAGGAACGCTGGGCTGTCGCCGATACGTCTTGGATACCTCACTCGTATTACACGCTCAACGACACCCCTCTCGAACCGCGGAAGAAGATCCACTATGGAAAAGACATGCCCATCGACCTCACGGGCCTGCTGAAAGAAGGCGAGAACGTTTTGGAAATTGCCGTCATGGCTCGGTCCGGCGAGAAATCTCATCTCAACTACATGCTCGCCATCGAGGCCATGGTCGTCTCATCCCACGAGTCCATCGTAAAACACTGTCTAAACCAGAGCCGCGTCCCCGCAGACAAAGTCCTGCAAGGCATCAAAAACAAACTCTCCGCCGTCGACGACGACGAAATCAGCGTCGTCGAAAGCACCCTCACCATCGGCCTCTTCGACCCCTTCAGCCAAGCCAAAATGTGCGACATCCCCGTCCGCAGCAAAGCCTGTCCGCACAACGATTGCTTCGACCTAGAAACGTTCCTCCAATCCCGGCCGCGCAAGGGCGACGCGTCCGTAGCCGATCAGTGGAAATGCCCCATTTGCAAATCTGACGCCCGGCCACAGATGCTTTTCGTCGACGGCTTCATGGAGGAGGTCAAGAAGCAGCTCGAGGCCCATGGACGGGCAAATACGCGCCATATCATTGTGAGGCAGGATGGAAAGTGGATACCCAAAGCTGAAGTCAGAGAGGGTGTTTCGAGCGCCACGCCTGAACCTGTTGCTGCGCGTCGGTCCGTTCCGGCTGAGGTTGAGATTATCGATCTTAGTGACTGATGTGTGAGCCTGTTCTGGTGGCGAGTGTACTTTTCTGTTTAACACGCATGTACGTATTTGGTCATGAACAAAAGTGGGCGTTTTCAAGCGTGGCATGGCATGGTAATGGAGTTTGTGGAGGTTATACCCCTGATTTTCTTTTTCGGTTCGTCATGTATGTAATGAGGGGCCTGATTATTTCATGTCTGAGGTGCGGTTAGGTGGGGGATTTCTTGTAGTTGATGTAGGATTGCAAAAGTGTAGATTTAATAATACGTGGTAGTGTCAACAATCAACTTTGTCCTAATCTTTGGTTGCTCGTATAGTGCGTTCGTGTCTACTGTGCTTATGATATATGCGTTGTCCAACATCTCACGTGTCACATGAAATACACAGGGATAGCCTGTACCTCAAGCATTAAATTCGATTCTATAGCTTGGTGCGAGTGTACAAGAGGATTGACATCAAATACACATCCCCACAACCATCAAAAGACTATCCCGAAAGCTCATCGCTCGATATCACCCCCTCTCCTCGCATACACCAACGTATGGGGTCAGCGCTGCGTGAAGTTTGGAACTTGCACTCCTCTGAAGTCTCTGTGAGGCCCCCTAAGGAATGCAAATTCCAAAATCCAAACCCCGCTGATCCCATACGCTGGTGCCGTACCTGTTCATCCCCCAGAAGACAGTGTAGACGCTTTAGCACACAGCCAGAATGATAAAACCGCTAGTCAAACTAACCCCACGTCTGATAAACACCATGCCTCAGTCACATGATCCACTTGTTCCACTTCGCACACGTGCACGATGTGGAAGAAGTGGATCATGTGACTAGGGCGTGATGGGGGTCAGTGTAGAGCAGATTAGGCAGGGTGGGATCGTGTTGACTACCGTTCGCCCCGTGTTTAGCCGCCTCACAGTCCCCAATCGGGCTACGAGGGTCGAAAGAACGATGAAGACAGTCGTATTGCTTCATGGAGTGTAGTGTATGAAGCAATGTGGCTCGCCGACACCGTGGTCGAATCCTTCGCAACGGCCTGTGAAGGTTACGTCGAGGAATCAGAAAGCGGCGGTAAGAGCGTTCGGCGCTTGTCGGAAGTGTCTGGTCGGAGTGCTGGATGAAGTGGATACGGTGCATGTGCGTAACCCCCGTTATGATAGACGTGGGCGTCGGAGTCGCTGAGTTGTCATCTGGCTGCTGAGTGGTTGGGTACTCTACTGCGACTCATGCTGCACGCATGCATAATGGAGTTTATCTGTCGGAATGGTGATGGGGTTTCAACGGCCATTCGCATGGAGGATTTTTGCAAATGGTGGCTAAGGCAATGAATGAGAATGCTGAGCGACTGCTCGGTACGCCAGTCCATACAGGAACGTTATAGCACCTTCTGAAGCGCGTCAGACACGACGACTACACGCCTAGTACGCGCACCCTCTTCGAACACAGATCCCTATCGTTGTAGATTGTCCCAGCCTTAAATCGATCCGCGGTCGTGCTACCTAGATAGTATAACAACCGAGGATCGACTTAAGGCCGGAACCATCACATCTAAATCAGGAGTCTGGTCGAGAGCTCGAGCGTGTGAGTTCAAAGCGATGCGTCCTCATAACGGCGGTCGGCATGAGAGTTTGCCGGAGCTTTGGTTCGTTCGCTTTCGTTTCGATGGGGAATGTGTGCTGGAGGTTGAGAGAAAGTACGATCCAGCGCGATGTGCTTTGCTCGAGGAGTGAGGCGTGGGTATGTGTTGTATCATCGTTCCGATTATGGGTCTCCTACGCTTGATCACTGCCGTGAAGCGCGCTTTCAGTCAATCTCGTCGCTGAGCTCGGCGCGAGCCGTCTCACGGGATTGTGCGTAGACAGTCTTTTCGAAGCTGTCGGCTGGGACCACGTCTCCATATCTGTGTCACCCGGAACACGACCATTCCAGTTCGTCGCCCTACCGGCGCTGTTATATCCATCTTCACCCCCTCCCCCTCCTCTCCTCAAACCCTCTCTCATTCTCCCCACCCTCCACAATCCCCCTGAGACTCGGCATCCTCTTCTCCACATACTCGTTCATCACCCTGAGCACTCTTGCAGGCGTGCGATACGCATTCGGCGGCCTCTTGCTCACATCGCTCAGCCCCACATGCGGCACGCTCTTTTCCAAATCCACCTGCGCCATGCTCTTCATCGGGTGGAATTGCTTCCAGTAGGGTTGGCGTTCGATGAAATCGGGGTGTACGGCGCGGGAGCGGTCGACGGTTACTTGGAACCATTTTGTGGATTTCTTCTGCGAGGAGGCGTGGGGCGGGGGGTCGAAGGGGAGGGGTTTGGATGGCGGTTTTGGGGCGGGGGAGGTGCCGGTGGTGCCGGTGGGGGTGGGTAGGGTGCGGTTCAGGAGTTGTGAGGGGCGGAGGATCTCGTCGATACCGTCTTTCTGAGGGGTTTGCTGGATGGGCGTGTCGTCTTCGTCTTCTTCGGCGGCCTGGATTTGGGCGTCGGCGTCGGCGTCGGTGTCGCTGGTTATGAGCTTCTCGAGGGCGAAGCGGAGGGGTGAGGCGTCGAGTGCGCTCTGGGCGGCGGCTTCGTCACGGTAGATGGCGAGGGCGACATTGTCGGCGGGATTCTGGTATTCGTACTGTGCGTGGTGTGAGTGGCCGTCTGGAATCAGTAAACGTATTGGTAAAGACGTACCCGAAGATACTTGAAGGTGCTGATTTCGCCGAAGCGTTGGAGGACGCGGAATATCTCGCGGCTCTCGGATAAATTAGCGGGACGTGGCACGATGCGCAAGTGGATGGAGCGCGGTGCCAGCGCCCGGCGGACAGACATGGCGGGTGTTGTGGTCGTGGTAGTAGGTGGGACAGATGCGGCACAAATTTACGAACTTACGATCAACAGCCATGTGGGTCACCAATTTACCAATGCTCAGGTTCGCGGAACATGCAGCAACGCGGGAAAGGAACGCTGTGCTGGGTCATGCGGAGAATTCACGATAAGAGAGCATAGTGGGAGTGTGTTCCATGTTGATGATGGTTCTGATTATGTAGTATGTGGGTGTAACGACAGCGCTCAGCTTGTCGCACCCTATAACGCCACGCTCAACCCTAAGGGAGCTCTTCCACCCGATGGTAATATAATAATACATCTCCAGGCCCTGTCCAAAATTGCCTTGTTTCCAGCAAGATCAAGTGGTATAATGCGCCCGTAGTGACACCCCAAACGCCGTTCGCTATGCATGTAACCAAATTCGACTGATAGTACTATGATGACCGCCTCTTCGATACGCCGTTGCCCTTGGACCGCTTGCGCATGCGCACAGGTCGGGTGACGCGGACGCAGCTGTCGCGCCTTTCGTGGGCTTTCCACACTGGCATGCTGGCGAGCGACTCGATGCCTGACGCAGGCACATCGTAGTCCATGTCGACGCCCTCGTCGTCTCCAGAGTTGCCAGGTGCGCATGTTGATGTCGAAGATGTAGAGGATGTTCGTGAAGACGACTCGCTGACGGTGCACTGCTTCTCCTCCTCGATCATCTTGACCAGCTTGGAGAGATCGCGAGCATGCGATGAGCTGCACTGCATGCGCGAGCTCTGTTGGCGTTGCATCCTGAGAACGGAAGCTGCGATGCGCGAGTAGGTGGGTCGCGCCTGCTGTTCTTGCTTTGTGGAAGGCGCGCACTCGTCATCGTCGCTCTCTGGTGTAAGAGGACCGGCAGGATAGCAGCGGACAGTCGTGTCGATGCGGAGGCTTTGCTGGTTGAGTTGCACGGCGAGGTCGCCCATAGTGCATGGTGGAGTGGGAGGGCGATTTGGCGCGTAATGCGGGTCCATCGCCTGTGACGTGGGCGAGACGTTCATAGCTGCCCGCTCAGCTTCGTAGGCGGAGTAGTCAGGTGACGGCGCCGGGTCGAAGGAGAAGTCGCGGAACATGGTGGCCATTGTGATGATGTTGTGAGGACGAAATGGACGGCCGGGGTAGGTATGTTATCAACGTCGTGACAGAGAGCTAGAGACGCAAATGACGGCGGCGAAGGATGCTATAAGGCGCTGCCCATTGCGTTCCGCGGCTTGGGGGCGTGGGACTAAGGCGAGACTAGGACGCCGGGGCCAGGTTTACCATGCTTCTGGCTAGCAGCCACTGGGCACTTGCCGTTGGCGCTGCACTCCTCATTCCTCAACCGCTCCACTCGAGTAGGATTGCAATCCCGGCCTAGCTCCCAATGCTTCATCTCTATTCCCTGGCGATACTCCTCTCCTATCGCGCGCAACATGTCGATGCGGACACTATGGCATTTGCTGCAAATTGACGGCGGCGGTCATGCGCCCCCAAACTGCCGCACTTTCATCGTCACTCCCGGCTTACTACATGACGGCAGCAGTCAGGGCTGAGTGAGGGCAGCTGGACGCGAGGATCAAGGGCTGCCTTCTGGAAGCCTGCAAGGACTCCCTCACAGCCCAAAAGCCCGCGGCACCTCTCATTCGTCGATGCCGACAATGCGGAATCTGGAGAAGCGATCGGCGCCCATCGACTGGCTGCGGAGTTTTCTAGCAAAGCCAACAGGTGCGCAGTCTGCTGCGTCTAGTCCTCGATCCAGAAGGAGAGGCAGAAGCTCCTCAGAAGCCGGTTCAAGACGGTGGATCTCAACCACGTCCCGGAAACCGCCAGTGTCAAGCTGCAGTGCGAGCTATCCTTATTCCCACGCCCAGTGTCGCTAGAGCTGCTCACTATCGCCGCTGGCGCTCCCCATCACACGGATCGGCACTGCTTAGCAGCTGAAGCTGTAGGGAACTCCCGGCACATCACACATGACCCTTCAAAATCCCACGCACCCAACTCTGAAGTTTGAACACTGGGTCATCCACACGTTTGGTGAAACCACGCGCCGCGAGATGCCACGTCCCATCGTCCCCCCTAGCAACTCGCGGCGGCTTTTTCTCTTGTTCTCTCCTATCCAAACCTCCCTTTTCTTATTTCCTATATCCAATATCCCGAACCGTCGAGTCGACTACGCTAACAAGCCTTGGGTAGCATCCGCTCCGACGTTACATGTGAAGTTTTCTTTAATTTCGGTCCTTCGACCATGGATGGCTTTCGCCACCCTGTGGATCCGCCCCGGATGCTGACCGCGACCCCTGATAGTTCCATTGGGGATCAGGGTGCTCTCCCGTCAGACGTGGCTGACTTTGCATGAAGCCACAGTTTGAGGTACCCGAAGGTCTGGGGCGACACGTCTGTGATTCGTCAACGTTGGACTAACAACCCGACAGCGGAACTCGTTTTAGGCCTTCACCGGAATGAGCCTACCTGTTTGAGCTGTAACCTCCAATCTCCCTCTGCTCCTGAATCTTGGATCCACTCCGCCTTCCCCGTTAGCATCAGTCCCTGCGTCGCTCAATGCAGCGAATCATGGACACCGGATCTAGAGTTCTGTCTTACTATACTTCGCGACCTTCTTCGTTTCTATCGCGCTATCGCTATCGCACTATCACGCTGAAGACGACGGCAAGTCGCGCTGCCCGAGCTGAAGTCAACCCAGCTCGCTACTCACACTCACTGAGCTCGACATCGTCTTATCTAGTCAGGGTCGCAAATGAGCATGTCGATCTCGAACGCCAACTTCGCGAAACCACCAAACAGCTGTCTCGACCAGCTAAAGCTACTTACGAATCACGGGTGCCTACTCAACTGCTGTCGCAATGAGAAGCACAGTAATCTACTCGGGGATCGACGTGAATCGTCTTCCAACTACTCTCTCCTCGAAACCTCACTGCATCGAGTCGGCGTCACCGATGCACACCGTAGCTGGGGGCTGAATAATCTCATCGTAAGTGGTCTACAGCTACTGCTCTGGTGCCTCATGAGGCCAAAGACGTGGGGTCTGTATGCTTGCGGCATCGATTTGCTCGCACGCATGCGTAGAGGTGCGTCGCAAATGCACCAATGGTGAGTGCCATCGTACGCTCCTCAGCTCTCTCGGTCTCCCCGTCGACTAGCCGTCGTGGGGGCTGAAGACACTATGTCTCTTGAACGTACTCAGAATTCACACCGCACTGTCTGACCCCATCACCAAGTCTCATTGCATACTATGCTCGCGCGGAATGTACGTCGGGCATCCCGACGGTGTTCACCAGTCAATGCGCCCTTTCCTGCTCTTCATGCTACAAATTATGAGGTAGTGAACACCTCACGTTCCCAGGTCCGGCTACAAACAGCAAAGCGTTAAGCGCAAATTCAGCCTCGTCCTCGAGAGGACTCCTGCCTAACTATGCGGGGTCTCATCGTTCGAAGGCGAGGACAGTATGCGCGTGCAGAACTGCGACTACCGTCTTCTTCGCGCAAGTCCAATGATACTTTCTTTGAATGTAATGTACCGGCACAAGTGTTCATGCGCGCATTGTAGCGTATACGGCACCCAAAAGATCCCAAACAACAACTACAACACATGTTCGGTTCGACCATCCCGCAGAGATTTTGCTGACAATCAATGTGCTCGTGCTAGACTTCAGTGGGCAACGATTTCGTTTGCAACTTGTGCAACCATCCTATGATTTGCAGGATACGAAAATTCATCAAAAGATTGGTACCAAAGTCAGCGATCCTTGGTTGTCAGGACTGACTCCCACCAAACCACACGCTATGATTGCAAATACTCAGCATGCGCGAGGTACAAAGCCTTTGTATTTGGTATCGATGCAAAGCGTCCAGAGTTACCCGCGATGGGACCCATTCCGCCGGAGCAGAAATACTGGATGAAGTAATATAAAATTGCAAAGGAAGGATGAAGACATTTTCTACTTTCGCCTTCTTACATCTTAACATTATCTTCTCACAAGAGCCAGAAGCCAAACACGATGTCTCCCTCCAAATTCAGCAAGATGTGGTTCAAGACACGATCTGGCAAACGCCATGCGCCTGAAGAAGAACCGGTTACTCCCGAGCCTCCTTGCACGTCTGGTTGCACGGAACCCACCCTACTAGTAGAACAGCACATCCGTTGGCTTCACAGCACACACTTTGGAAAACCCAATGAAGAGATGGCAGCCAGGGTACGCCGTCTCAATGACTTGATCAGCGACTGGAAGGAGCGTCTCAACGCGAAAGACTTGCGAAAGACTCTATCTGAAGAGGAGATGACAGGCCTCTTGAACGACCTATCGGAGACGTTCTTCGACGCGGAACTTGTTCCTCCTCAACCCTCATTCCAAGTCCAGTTTGACTGGGTAGACGATCACGACAAGAACAAATGGAAGATTCTTGGGGTGACGATACAAAAAAGCTACGGCTGCCTGATCGAACTAGATCCTAACGTCACCGAACCACTGAACCACTGTGTTTTTCCAAAAGTCTTTGACAAACGAAGGCAGGGTCGCCTTGGTACGCTCCTCCATGAGCTCTGCCACGCTTTCTTCTGCAGACATATCTGTGAAAACTGCCACAGCAGGGTCAGTCATGGCGCGGCCTGGCAGCAATTAGCCCTAGAGTTAGAGCATGTCAGCTCCAATTTGTTGGGGATACGCATGGAATTGGATCGATGCATCAGCCTCATTTACGATGAAGAGAAACTTGGCATAAAGTCAAGAGGGCGTTTGGATTGGGACGAGTTCAACCTCGCTGATACTGTTCTTGGACGCATAGCATTCAAGAAGCCTTACCTACTCCACCCTAAAACGGTCAAGATGTGTCGGGTGATTAGATCTCGTTCGGTGCTAGAATGATCGGCCTACCGGCGCGGAACTACACCTCGATCCCAAGGCCACTGCACAGCAGAACACAGCGTGCGTCATCGCCAGCCCCTCCCGCGCAACAACGATCGGTGCCAGAACCTGGGAACGCAGCCGCCTGACGACAGCAACAACAATAAAAGAGACTCTGACACCACAAGACGACGCAGAAGAAACCGGATATAACCCTGAAGAAGCGTCATTCGGCTGACTCGAAGAAAGAGTTGACGCACGACCGGGTGTACGTGCGCAACGTTTCACAGAACAGGGGTCGGATAAGCGGAAGCGGAACCTAGAAAAGACCCTGATAACATAACGTCTGTCATGCATGCACACTCCACACTGCGCCACGTGGCGTGCAAGAAATGAACAGCCACACCTGGGTGGGTGGGGGAGGCGGAGGGGAGGAGGAGGGGAGGTGGTGGAGGTCTTATAGGCTTCGCGCTCAAACTCAAAGTCTTATTAAGAGGGACTTTGGATGTGTACGTTGGTAGTTGGTGAAGGTCTCGCACACTATCCGCCTAAGACACGATTTACTGGAGTCTCCCCCCGGCCGAAAATGCACACTCCACAATGCGCCACGTGGCGTGCAAGAAATGAGCCACACCCCCCGTTCCAACATCGGACCGTTGTCTTTGTGCAACTTCCGTCAACCCAGGGCAGGATTTCCGAGATGCCCGTTCTCATTCACGAAACGCGCGTACCGGCGATAAGCTGCGGCCCCAAACATAGCCTCGACACACCTGTACTCGCAGAACAAGTGTCCGTTATGTCTTGGATTCCGATTCCCCAAACCTGCCTGGCATCGTATCGGCATCACCTGCCACAACGAACCCTCGTCCCGATCCTCAGACGACCCTAACCGTCTGTGCGCAGCATGCCTCGCAATCGCGACCCCTGCTGTGCATCCGAATCCTTCAATCTTACTACCCTTACCGCCTCACTGTTCGGTTAGGGCACCATGTCCCCAAAACGGCTGTCACGTCTTTCCCATGGGCCGAATCTCGGATTTGGGTTACTCTTTTCTTTTCTTTCAATCATGTCGAATTTATAGCCCTGTACATTAGCTCATTAATATTACGTCTACCCCATGGGGAATCCGCCAGTTCTGGAAACGCACGATGCAAGCAATCTTGCAAAGAAGACGAAGAAGTCGGAAAAGAAGAGAAGACGACTCCATCCCATCCGGCGCATCGCGAAGTTCATTCTTGGCGATG